CTCTAGTCTTTGCGCTGTGAAGCCAGCGAACTATCCAGAACAAAGGGGGAGTGGAGAAAAAAATTAAAACTTCAGATACAAGTATTTATTTGCAGGTGCTAAATGATTTCTTGATTAATTCCGCAACCCGCTGCTTACTCGCCTCTAGCCGTTCCCTGCTCAGCAGTTAGAGGAGAACGGATTCGTTTAGCTCAACAAAGAGAACTTTCAGGCTGAAATTTGCCTGATGTGGGCAGCAGGGCAGTAATTGGCTTGAAAAACAAAACATTCAGGAAAAAAAAACACGAAACTAATCTGAAGCCTTTTTAGCTAGACAAAGGCCTTAGCTTACCATCTTCACATGTCTAAACTTCTCCAGGCCTAATAAAGAAGTATTATCAGTACAGCAGATGTTAAACGCAAGCATTACTTAGAAAGAGAGAGAGAAAAAGAACGAACGAACCTGCATATAAATATGGGTACAGATAAATAGGTACCACCACGAGCTCTCAAGTTGCAGGCTTTCACATCCCTCTATTTTACAGTGGGATATCATCAAAATTAACATGACAATATATCGTTACAGGAAAGCAATGATAGCCATTGCTTATACCTGCAGCCCAAACGCTCAAACAGGATTTTATTACAGTATCCTTCAACAAATCGTCTTCCAAAGTCATTAGAGCTGCCATTTGCTCCGAAGAACGCACAGAGAAATGTGTGGAAGAGCAAACGTTTTTGGAGGCGTTAATAACAAAGAGCGTAAACTAATAAATTCGGCTCTTGCCTACCAACGAAAGGCCCAAGCAGCCGGGTCCCGGGAGCGGCGATATGCTGAAATCCTAGGTGTTTCGGGGGGGAAGCAGGTGAGGGCTTTTGTGTAGCACTGTTTGCTTTATTCAGGTTTTACTCCATGGCATGGACATCCCCTTTGCAGCCTGGGAAGCACCATATGCAGAGAAAGAAGCAGCCTGCACTCCAGATATTCACTCCTCCTTCCTATATTAACTTCTTCCTTCCTACCGCTGTGACCACCCCCATCAGATCTGTGACAATCTCCCACATTTTCCCTTCACTTTCCTAAAGTGGCTGCTCCATCCTGACCCTTCTAGGGAGCCCCACAGTCCAGGGTGGGCTAAAACCCCACGACTTGGCCAAGACCTGCCAGGAAGCCAAAACGTCCCCGTAAGGGAGACCACGTCCTCCTTCCATACGCTGCCTTTTTAAGAGCAAAAAAGACAGACTGAAGCTCGGACCAGGAACTTGAAGTTAAACACGGAGAGAGCCATGCAAGCCTACAACCCTTCCAGGCCACCGTCACCCAGCTGCTCTCCTCCAGGATAAACCCATCCTCGGCTCCCAAAGGCTGGCACGCTGTAAGCCGAGGGTTATTTGGGCCGTTCCTGCCTCCCCTGCACGCGAGGAGGCCAGCCTGGGCCTAAGAAAATCTCTTTTCCTCTTGCACTGGGGACACTGGATTGCACCAAGGTGCGACAACTTAGAGGTATCACGAGCAGCGTGTTCGCTGGCGAGGAGGGGGCAGAGGGAAGTCCTCGAGCAACATAAGTCAGCTTAGATGGTACTAGCTTACAGATCCCTGCGTTTAAATTGATTAATAACGACACTTTTAAATGGATAACATAAATTAATTTCGGAATTGCACCATTAGTAAGTAATTAATTTCTTTGCTCTGTGAAACTAAGATATCACTGTTATCTAGATCTATAAAGAGAAGAAATGCTGAACGAGGACTCCATTAATGTAAAAATTGATTTTTCCATTTACCCTCTTCTGAGGGTTTTTTTTTTCCTTCCCCTCCCTCCAATGCATTTATTTGTCAAGTGGCTGGGGGTGGGGAGAGTAACCTAATTTATACTTCCAGTGGCAATCAAAAGTTCATGCATGCTCATTTCAACCAAATGATGTCATTATGAAGGCTGTTAAAGCTGGAGTTGCCTTGGAAACACAAAATACTGATGGTCGAGGTTGGGCATTTGAGTTCTCCGTGGGCACAGTCACGAGGAAACGGTGCAGCCCTGCCAGACCTGGCCTGACTGGTCATGCTGGGAAGATCACCACAAGTTACTCCAACGGTCTCTTTAGCACTTAGCACGCTACCATTTTTCTTATTCCTCCGACCACCTGCCATAATCTATTACTTCCACGGAGCCAGAAGCAGAGAACTTGGTTAAAAGGGAAGCAAAAGGATGAGGGCAAGAGCTGTTTGCCCAAGCGGGAAGGACACGCAAGCCAAAAGCTGCGTGCTTCTTAGCACCAGCGGTCTCAGTTCTGCGGTCCAGGCTGAAAAGCGTACCTTGGTGTCTCTGCCGCCCTGCTGTTGCAGCCCACGGTGCAGAATTACTGGGGGATCATCGGGGCATCTAGAACCAGGACCCAATTTTAGCCAAGGTTTTAGACCATCCTTTTCAAGCCAGCAGAGCCAGCTTATAACCTGGGACACGTTCCTCCTGGGTGCATCCAGATCACAACTGCTGCACCGTCAGCAACCTGCCATCTGCCCAGGAGCGGAAGGTGCAGTCTTGGAGAGCAGAGCTTTATTTTGCGAGCCCCTGAGCGAGGGGCTTCCTTGCAAAGCTCAGCAACCTCACTCGGGTTGGACAAAGCAAGAAACACTTGCCTCGCTCTCCAGATCCTAGCAAGCGTTCTCCGCCGTGACTTGGCAGGGAAAAAGGCAAGCAGGCACAACAAGGACACTGCCTGACTGGACAGCGGAGATACCGGCTGCTCGAACAACGTCTCCCAAAAGGGCCAGATGCCGCCTGCCAGGACACAGGGAAGCTGTTTCATTACGGAGTACACTGAGGCAGGAAGATGCCCACAAGCCAAGTCACATGTCGGGGGGGGGGGGTGCAAACACAGCTCCTGGATCTACAGTTCTACACGCTTTAGATGAGGCTATTTTGGCTGCCCTGCTGTATGTACATCCTAAACCATAGAAAGTTATTCTAAAAGGCACACTTCTACAGAAACAAAGACGGCTTTCTTTGCACTGCTTAAAAGGAAAAAAAGCCCACAAATTTTTCATGCAGTGAATCTTTCCAAGGCCTTGCTGCTGAGATGGCATTAGCCAGCTGTCCCCACTGGTGTCATTTGCTCGGGGCAGACAACAAGAAATGGTCTCACGGCGCCCAGGTTAGGCAGCAGGTTTTGAGCAGCCCAAGGCATCTGTTTGCTAACAAAGAGGATGCAGACTGATGCCACGATTTAGGGAGAACACCCTGGGTCTCATTAGCCAGTTCTCTTGGTGTTCACGGACCGAAAAACAACGTAGTATGACAGAAAGCTTAGGGCTAACAGGCGATGCATTAGTACCTCCAACGCAAAGAGCCGTGCCTGCCTCCTTCCTCCCAGAAAACAGCTATGCTTCCCGTTTTTGCATCCGAAAAGTGTATTACACACCTGTGTATTGCGTAGGGCAAGGCAAGGAGGTGCAAACGTCACTGCTGTCTGAGAAACAGAAGTTTTTGAGCCAGTCTTACTTTCGGGGCAAGACCTTGCAGCTGGCCTCTCTTAGTACAGCAAAACACAGGAGCCCCACCCCTCCCACCTGGGTCTTTCAATAGCTCTGAGCTACGAATTTCACAGTCCTTTTTCAGCTTTTTTTTTTTTTTTTCCTACCTACCCTGTCCCAAGAACAATGCGATGTCATCTCTGATCACATCATGCCAAGCTGAAAGCGAACTTTAAGGGACGCCTCGGTGAGTAAGGGGCACAGTCTGAAGCCATCTCTTGAAAAGCCGGCACCGAATCCGCTGCGCTTAAGAAAAGAATAGAGTGGGTTGAATTATTTACAGTGAGTGTTTTGGCCCTATCTTTTTTTTCCTTCCTTCTCCTGTTAAAGAGCACAGAACAAAACGTGCATACAAACAAGTCAATAGCATGAAACACTTACTATCTGTGCAAAGAGTGTTAAATGAACTCATTTCAGCTGCTCTATTGATTAATATCTGGATGTGTCTCCTAGTCACTCTTAGGCGTTTTACTTTGGTAGGCAGGTAACGACATTAATAACATCACGTGCTCTTTCTGTTCCCTTACTGAGTCACCTTCCCCTTATAAGCAGGAGTTTCTTTTAAGGCTCATCAATTGAAATTGTTTGAATGCACCAAGAAAATAATAAAAAGAACATTTCATAACATTAGCAGGAGCGTTTCAGCCATGAGCACTTTGAATATTTATTCGCGCTTTGTGGGAGCAGTCTCAGGAAGAAAAAGTCGGCGTGAAGAAAAGGAATTGCAAGTAACAGCCAAGTAGCTTGATAGTTCTCATTCAGGAGAATATCTGCACAGGCTCCTGGGAGAATTATCAAGCTAGGTAATGCAAAATCCCTTGTAGCGTCAAAGCTTTGGACACGGTGTGATCCTTCAAGTCCAACAAAAAGCATCTTCTCCTGGGACCTGGGGGCCTGAGCTGTCATTTTCTGGCTTGGGGAGCTTGGAAAAGTGGTGAAGAACCTTGGAGAATCCTGCATCACTAGCCAGAGCTGTTTCTCTGCCCCCTTTCTACTTCACAGCGCTCCGATTTTCTTCCGCCTCTCATCTCCCATTCACCATCTCTTCCTTGAGCCAAAACTGAGAAGAGAGGGTAAGTTTCCTTCTGAAGTGAAGGTGGGCAACTCCCAGGAAAAAGCCAGTCAAGGAAGAACCTCCTACCTACGGGGCTGGATTAGAAGAAATCCCATACGGGAGCACAACGGG